GATGGCTTTCTATGTGTACATACTGATGGCTTTCAATGTGTACATACTGATGGCTTTCTATGTGTACATACTGATGGCTTTCTATGTGTACATACTGATGGCTACAAAACATTCATTTTTAATGTTGTTTATGACACTGCTTGAATTTATAGATAGTGATATTTATAGTTTTGTCCACTTAGGTATGTCTCAAACTATAATTGTCACTCAATATATAATTTAACAACATAGATTTTTATCTCAAAATTGTGGTTGTTTTTTTGAAAATTTGGATTTTATTTTTGTTGCATCACTACATGTATGGAATTAAATATATTAAAGTGTAATAATATATACCATATTTACTCTATTAGTAGGTCATTTATGTTCAGGACGATTCATACATGTAGTATAACAGCAAAAACATGCTTTCAGAACCCTAATGAAATATTAGCTGTGGGTTGTGTGCATTCATATCTTACCTATTTTCTATCCAATGAATTTATGACAGAAGTAAATTTATTCAATTTTGATTTAAGGGCATCACACAGTCTCATTGTGATACATTAACCGACTCATCCCCCCGAGTCACAGCTATTGTTCTGAAATGAAATAATAGCAGTTAACAGTCTGTATGTTGGTGCAATTTGTCATATTCAATATGGTAATTAATTTATTTTTTCATGGTAAAGAATTTTATTAATATTATGTAAAATGAGTGGATTTTGACTGACTTTTCTCATGGGTAAAATTGAAGCAAAACAATCTCTATTCCATATTGTGTCTCTGCATTCTTTTATTGTTTTCATAATTGTGTTGGATTAACAAGGTCCAAGTATTATTTATTAATATTTAAAATGCTGTGATTTAAATATAATCACATAAAGATGACCAAATCTTATTGAAATAATATTTCAGACATACCGGTACTTGCAACCCTACACAAGAATAATATCACATAAAGTGCAATTCAAAAAACAAGGGATTAGTAGTCGCCATTTTGTTGAAACTGGTCATGTGATTTGATAGTTAGTTACCGCTATTGCGACTTTGACAGTATTTTTATTGTTTTGAAATGATCTTTCTGTAACTGCAATAAATTATCTTGTAAGGAAATAAATATTATATTTCATAACACACTCAATGTACTGTGTTTCTGTAACATTTCTGTGAGATAATTGTTAGTTTATTGCGATGAAACTGCATTTTTATATTACTACAGTATTGGGATAAAACACATTCTTTTACTCCATGCATAGGCATAGGAAACTGTTCGATGGTTGCCGGTGTTCTTTATGATGTTGGGTGCGATTACTAGTAGTCCTTATATTGTTCTATTGCACCAGGATTCCAGGCCAAAGGCAAGTGATTAAAT